AGGCTTCGCTTTGCCACGGGGTGCCATGCTGTGTGCACAGTGCCCGCGCTGCGCTCCTGGGCACGTTGTAGGACTCCGGTCCCCACGTCCCCACCCGGACCCCACACGTCACAGCGCCCTGCCCTAGCCTGGGCCCGAGAGTCGTCCAGGCCTCAGCGGACCCGCCCAGGCCCCCTGGGCTCTGTGGCCGCCTCGCCGCCCTGGCCGGGGTGCTGGGGGCTGGCAGGGCGGAGGGACAGCTTTCCTCCGACCCCACGGGCCTGCGCCCAGAGAGTGCGTGAAGACCCACAGCCGGAGACTGCTGGCTGCTCCCGGGGCGGGCTGGCCCCGAGCCTGCGCCCATAGGAGTCCCACCTCTCAGCTTCCCTGAGGCTCAGCGCAAGCCTGGTTCTGGGCGGGTAGTCCATCCTGGTCCTATCTGGCCACGCACCTCCGGGCCCTGGCCACCGGAGGAAGCGGTGCGGAGCGGGTGTCTTCCCCGCCCCTCTCGGCTGGGCCAGCCTCCGGGCTGAGCTCACGGAAGGAACCGTCCTCGCAGGACTGCCCCAGAGGCCAGCCCGTCCCGGCTCCTCAGGATGCGGTGGTGCCGCACAGGAAGGTGTGGAGGGCTTCCAGCGGGAGGCAGGACATGACCTTCCAGGCCCTCTGACCTGGGAATTGGGCGGAGCAGGGCCTCTCTTTCTTGTTAATCCTGGGTTTTAGGGAGAGGGAAAGACAGAGAGAAACTTCAATGTGAGGGAGACACATCGATTGGTTGCCTCCTCACGTGCCCTGACCAGGGACCTGGCCGGGAGGAGCCTGCAACCCAGGTACGTGCCCTTGACCGGAATGGAACCCAGGACCCTTCGGTCCGGAGGCCGACACTCTATCCACTGAGCCAAACTGGCGGGGGTGAATGGGGACCGCTCTCTCCCCGCTCAGAGCTCCAGCTCCCAGAGTCTGGAGATCCCGGGGCGGCGCGGCCCACGGGGAGGGGCTGGCTGCCAGCAGCATCCTGGTCCCGCTGAGGTGGGGCATCACGGGCCCGGGCAGCTGCATCCCGAGCGGTGGCAGCCGTGGTGGATGGCAGGCTCTGCCGTGTCCTCGGTAAGAATGACAATTAGAGGTCGCGGAGCACTGTGGGCGCAAGGCAGCACCATTACCACAGCTACGGGTGGCGCAAGCACCCACTAGGTGCTGGGCCACTGGCTGCCCAGGAGCACTGCGGGGGGAGGGAACACCCACGCCAGTGAGTCCTCCTTGGGGCTGGCTAGGGCTCTGGCCTGCCTTCCTCCATGAATTCCTCCTCCTCTTCCTCTCCTCTCTCCTTGCCCTCAGCCTCAACTGACCCCAGACTGAGGACCCAGAAGTGGGGGACCCCATGCAGCACGTTCAAGTTTATCTTCTAGCAGATTTCGGGGTTTGGGGTATCACGGGGCTTCTTCCTAGGGTTCCCCTCGCATCTGAGTGAGCTTCACCAGCCAGTGGTGGGTGACACGGAGGGGCCGAGGCATGGCCACAGGAGTCATCCTGTATGGACTGAGGGCCTTCCAGCCCGCGCATTGAGGGGCTCCGGGCAGTTCCCGGGCCGGCGCCTTCCTCAGGGTGGAGCCTGTCTGGCCACTGCCCGGCCGGTAGGAGAGAAGACACAGTCCAAGTGTCGGCCCTTTGTTTATTTACTTTTTTAAATCTCTACTGTTGAAAGTATTCCATGTCTACTCCTTCCCCCCCATTGACCCCCTCTCCCCACCCCAGGCCCTCAGCCCCTCCCCCCTGTCTGTGCCCAGGGGCCATGCAGAGATGCACACAGGGTCTTTGGTTGATCACCTCCCACCCACTCCCCCTCCCCGCCTTCCCTCCGAGAGTCCGCCCTCTGCGCCATGCCCCATGGCTCTGGGTCCACTCCGTCCATCAGTTTATTTTGCTAATTAGATTCCTCATATGAGTGAGGTCATGTGACCCGTGTCTCTGACTGACGGCCTTCACTCAGCACGAGGCTCTCCAGGCCCCTCCGTGCTGTCCCAAGGGTAAGAGGCCCTCCTTTCACCGCTGCATCGTGTTCCGTGTGTGAATGCCCACAGCTTCTCTTCTGATGGGCCAAGTGCTATCCTATGGGTGGTGTCCTTTCTGCAGTCACTGGTCTCAGAGCCAGGCAGGCAAGAATGAAGGGCTCCTCATGTCGTAGGGCTTGTTTTAAAGGTGGCACATGGGTGACCATGCTAGCTCAGGTACTTGCCTTCATCTCCTGCCCTGGCAAGAATCCCACCGACGGCACCCTGGTAAACGGACCTGGGCCTGCATCTGCCTAGGGACAGGGAGTGCTCCCCAAATAGTTGCCCTGGAATAAATTAAAATCGACTTCCCCGTCCCATGTGCCCACGAATCCTGGTTCACCTCTGGGGAGCACAGACACCCTGCTCCTTCTCCCTCTGGTCTGGAGACGGCTAAGCGCCCTCCCTCCACCGCCCGCAGCTTCCCCGGCCTGAGACGCCAGGCTGCCTCCCTGCAGGCAGCTCCCCCTGCTGCCCTGCAGCGACCTTATTATTCAATATAAACTCCCTGCCTTCTACCCCAAACCTCCTTCTTCACCGCACTTCCGTCCCCCTCCAGGCTCAGGGAGGGTGGGTCCACTACTTTCCCGCTGACCTCTGCTCCCTGGTTCCCCACCCAAGCCTCCTCTGCTGACCACCTCTCCAGTCTGCTTTCTACTCCCCTCCCCTCTGCTCTCCACGTGAGGCTGTGGTTCTGGCAGTGACCTTCCATCCTATACTAATCTAGTTATTTGAGTGGGCTCTTATCCGTAGCTCACTCTTGTAGCCTCCGCACCTCGCTAGTAGGTACCCAAAGACCTCCATTTACTCTCCGAGTAAACCCACCACACACACACACACACACACACACACACACACACACACCACTGGCCCCACGCTGGTGCTTTGCATGTTATAGGGCTTGTTTTTAAAGATGACACATGGGTGACCATGCTAGCTCAGGTACTTGCCTTCATCTCCTCTACCCAGCCACCCCCGGGCAGTCATGCCAATGCCCACACAGCCTCTCTGGACACCCAGTGAGGTCACAGAAGCCTCGCCGACAGGCAGAGGTGAGAACACGAGCAGGAAGTGAATAGACATGGCGCATCTGGAAGTGCCTCCAACCATCTATTCACCCCACAACACGCCAGAAGAGTCCAAGACCACAGCACGGACGTAATGCAGCCCTGGCCGTGGAGTCCATGGAGAGCCGTGGGGAGGTGCCAGCTGCCAGGCTGGGCACAGATCCTGACTAGGCATTGCCCAGGGTGACCCTCCCAGTGGCTCTGCAGGCTGCCCCTTTGTCCAAGTCAGGCTGAGGCTGCAGCCAACACGGGACCTCGCTCAGGCCTCAGCCATTTGCTGGCCTTTGCACCTTCTCCATGCTGACCCAGCTGGCTTCCATCCGGCCTCAGTGCCTCTCTGCGGGGCATGCCCATCTGATGGGTGAGTGGCTCAGCCCGGTGGAGGCCCCCACCTCCCTGCGGAGCTGGGCACTTTCTCTGAGACCCAGCAACTCTTGTGCCCTCTGTAAGCACACACACCCTGTGTGTCTTCCCACGCCCCCAGGGGACTGGGTCCTTCAGGACAATGGCACGCCTCTGCCTCTGCAAGCCTGCACAGCGCTTGCTAACAAGAATGTGGGTCACATTGGGTCAAGGTGATGCAGGTACTCAAGTGCCAAACTAAACGGCTGAGCGTGGACCTGTGAGCCAGGAGGTCACAGTTCGGTTCCCAGTCAGGGCACAGGCCCGGGCTACGGGCTGGATCCCTAGTGTGAAGTGTGCAGGGGGCAGCCCATCAACGATTCTCTCTCATCATTGATGTTTCTATCTCTCTCTCCCTCTCCCTTCCTCTCTAAAATCAATAAAAAATATACTTAAGCCGAGACCAGTTTGGCTCAATGGATAGAGCGTCGGCTTGGGGACTGAAGGGTCCCGGGTTCGATTCCGGTCAAGGGCATGTACCTTGGTTTCGGGCATATCTCCAGTAGGGGGTGTGCAAGAGGCAGCTGATCGATGACTCTCATCGATGTTTCTAACTATCTCTCTCCCTTCTCTGTACAAAATCAATAAAATATATTTTTTAAAAAATATATATATATATATATACTTAAATGGTTTCAAACCGAACCCCAGACACTCCAGGGCCAGGTCTGAGGGGGCAGGACAGCGGCACCCTCCTACCCACCCTCCTGCTCTGTCTCCTCAGGAAAATGAGAATTTCCTTTTAGGACCCACAGCCACGCCCCTCGCTCCTGCCCGCGGGCAAAGGGCAGCAATGGACAGAGGACGCATCCTGTGGCCCCGCTTCTAGGGAAAACCAGGTTCCTCTTCCCGGGAAGCCCTCTCTGTCTGTCTGTCTGTCTGCTGCCAGGAGGGAGGAAGGGAGGTCCAGCCAGAAGGGCTGGCCACCTTGGCAGGAGGCCCACCCCACCCGGATGTGGTGAGCCCGGCAGGAGGCCCGCGGGATGGGTCCCCGCCAAGCACAACGAAGGTGCCCTCAGAGGGAACCCCTGCGCAACGCTCTATCTGGGAAGGCGAGGGCGCAGTTTTTAGAAAAGGAACCCTTGAAGGGAGCGGGGATTAGAAAAGATCAGAAACCTCCGTGGCCCCATCTCATCCAGTACCGCCCCCCACCCCCCACCCTCACAGCTCCCAGCGGTCCCGCCAGGCGGCCTCTTGGTCGGGCGTCCGGGCGCTGCCAGGGCCCTGGCCCTGGGTTCCAGTCCCAGAGACCCGCCGCCTTACCCTTCGGGGCCTTTGCTTCCACAGCTGTAAAATGGGGCCAGGACTGGGGCGGGGGACCTGGGGGAGCCGTTCCGCGGGGTCGTGAATAGACCGTTTCCCGCGGCGGCCGCTACCGCACCGCCGGGCTAACTCCGCCCCACGGCGCAGCGCGGCCCCGCGCCGGCCGCCAGGGGGCACTGCGCGCCTTCCCGCGCGGAGCGGTCCGCCTCCCGGCTGCAGGCGGCGGGGGCATCTCCGAGCCAGAGGGCCGAGCGGGACCCCGGGCCCCGCTGGGACCCGCCTCTGCCCGCAGCCGGAAGGCGGGAGAGCCGCGGAGGCCGGCGCGGCGCCGGGAGGGTTAACGCTAACCCCTCCCCCTGACATCACGCCGGCGGGGAGAGGCCGGCGCGGCGGGGAGAGAAAGGACCCGAGGCGCGGGCTCCCGACGCCGCGCTCACAGTGCACCCGCGGCCGGCGGAGCGCGCACCTGGCTGGCTGTCCGCGCGCAGATCGCCCCCCCCGCCCCCCCGAGCCGCCCGGGCCTCCGCCCGCCGCCCGGGCCCGAGCCCCGCCCGCCCGCCCCGCTGGGCCCACGCCCGCCACTGGCCCCGAGGACGCCGGCCGGACGCCGGGACTGGAGCCGCGCGGGAGGGCGTGAGCGCGCCGGCCGGAACCCGCTCCGCGGAGCCGCCGGCGGCCGCCGAGCCGGGGTGGGTCCCTCTCCGGGGCTCTGCGTGGAGGAGAGGGCGGGGCCGCGCGGGGCGGGGAGCGAGGCGAGGGGCATGACTCGTGCGCCTGGCGGCGGGCATCTGCCGAGCCTCTGAGCTGCGGCGGCTGAGGCCTGGACCGCGCCGAGCGCACCCCGCGCCGCCCGCCCGCCCGGCCCCTCGGCGGACCTGGATCCCGCAGCGCGCCGGCCCCGACCGCCCGCGCCTTCCGCCGGCTTCTGGGGCGAGGAGCGCTCCTCGCCGGACCTCCGGGCCCCCATGGCTCCGCGGGGGCTTGCGGACGACGCTGGACGCTGGTGGGGCCTCGCTCTCGGCTTGGCCGCCTTCTTCCTCCCAGGTGAGCTCCCCTCCTCTGGTTAACTCCGCGCTCCGTGCCTCCCGGGCCGGTGGCGGGCGCGCCTGGGCTGGGGAGTGAAAGGCACCGGGAGAGCTGGGTCAGGGTTAGGGACGCGAGGGCAGAGGGGGCGCGGCGGGCGGACGGGGAGACCCGGCAGCCTGCGCCGAAGGCGGCTGGTGGGAGGCAAACGTCTGTGCCGCACGAGAGCGCTCCGTCCGCCCAGCTTTCCACAAAAATCCTGTGTAATCGCGTCCTAGTTATTAGCACCCAGCTCCCAGCCCGAGGCAGTTTGGAAGCACTGCTTGTTACATAAATGCAGATAGCCGCCGTCCCTCTCCGGACGGAGGCGTCCGTCCGTCTGTCCCCCCGGGGGCTGCGGGCGGGGGCGCAGGGCTGCCTCTCTTTGTCCAGCGCCAGCGCCTGTGCCCGGCTGTGCGGGCGCCCCGGCGGGCGCGTGGAGCCGGGACTGCGGCTCCCACACAGCCCCCTGCGGCCCCTCTCCCGGCCGGCGGGGCTCCGCTCCCAGGTGGGGGGCTCTCCCCAGGGGCCCGCCTCCGCTTCGTGCCGGCCAGGTGGCCGCGTGACCCACTTTCCCGGGTGCCCTTCCTCGCATTGCGGGCGGGCGGCGGCGGAGCTCCCCGGAAGCTCGCCCCGGGCTGGCCCGCGGCGCCCCGCCAACGGGAGGACGCGGAGCCGGGGGCGGAGGCCGGGGGCGGAGGCCCGGGCCGCCGGGCGCTGGTGCCCGGAATGGACTGGAAAATGCGTTTAGGAGGCTAATCCCCTGAGTCCCGGCGCCCGGACTTAACCCTAAGCGTCCCTGGGGCAGCCGCGCGCCTCCCAGGCGGCTGGGACTCCCCGGAGGAACCCCGCTGTGGCGGCAGGGGCAGGGGCAGGGGCAGGGGCAGGGGCAGCGGCAGGTTGGGCTGAGCACGTGGCGTGGCCTGAGGGTGGCAGAAGGATGGTCGGATAGAGATCCGCTCCCAGGGGCCAGCGTTGAGGCGCGAATCCCGAGGGCAGCTGGTTTCCAGGCCCAGCCTGGCCGCCCACTTCGGGGCAGGGGTGCCCCCGGGGAGGCAGGAACCCGGCGCCATGCCGGTCTATGCCTCCACCGCCGCCAGCTCCCTGCCAAGCCTCACAAATCTCGGGGAGTGGCCAGTGACACCTCAAGCGCTTGTGGAGGCAGGTGCCCCCACTCCTGGGCCTGTGGGGGAGGGAAATCCCTGGACATAGGTGCCTCTGCCTATTCACCCTCCCCCCACCCCGCTTTGGAGGGAGTGAGGGGTCTTTTCTCACCGGAGCCTCCTCAGAGGCAACCAGGGAATTCTGACCGGGGTGGGCTCTGGGCATCCTTCCTCAGCCACTGTAGTCCGCCCCAGGAGGGCCAAGGCGGACCCTGGGCTCAGGGGACCAGGCACACTGGGGGCATCCTAACCTTGGTCCCCATAAGGGGCGAGAAGCCACTCACCCCCATGCTCCCCTCCTTTGGTTATTTCTTCCCCCAGACCTGGGGTGCCTAGTGGGGAATTCCTGCTTTGGGGGCGTGGAGGCCTGTCCTGCTGCACCCAACTCAGGAAGCAGGAGCCGAGAGGGGACAGGGTCACAGGTTTGAGCAAGGACACTCCCCACACCAGAAATCCAGGTGGAGGGTGGGACGCAGAGCAGGACCCGGGCCAGAAAGCGCTTACTGAGCTCGTGGGCTCTGGGCTTGGTTGTCATTGTTGTGGCTGTGGACTCAACCGCTCCTGCTCGGGGCAGGCGTGTGGGTGTGCAGGGCCTGGGCCTGACACTTGGACTGAGGCTGGCAAGCCCAGACGTTGCCCCCTCTGCCCCCTCCACCACACCCAGCCTCCTGATGCCTGCTGCTGCTCCTCTCGGGGACTCAGCAGCCTGGGTGGGTCTTCCCTGGGCTCTCCTGAACCTGGAGGAGTGAGGAGAGGGGCCTCCTAGGGGGAGGGGAGCCGCTGGTGGAGGGTCGGTCCCGACTTCAAAAACATCCCAAATCTGGCCACTGGAGTGTCAACACCAAAGTATATTTGCAACGGGCCAGACTGCCAGGCGGGTGTGCGTGTGTGTGTGTGTGTGCACGCGAGCAGTCCACCGGTGAGGACGGTCTCCCCACAGGAGAGCCAGTGGAGCATGTGGCTCCGGAGGAGGCAGAGCCTCAGGAGCAGGTGCAGCGTTGGTGTCCCACCTGTACCACACCCGCCCTAATTGGCTTCCCAAACCTTTTGTCTGGAAGGAAAACACTGCCCAGGTGCCGTGCATACCCTCGGAAGGCCTTCTGGTCACAGCTGGGAAGAGCTGGCTGTCCTGGGGCTCCTTTGAAATGCGGGGTGTCGGCTCACTTTCCTCTCCCCATTTCTCAGTGCTGCACGCGCCACTGTCTGATCCAGGTGTGTGCCAGCAGGCCGTCCCACAGGCAGCACCTGAGTGATGGCTAAGTCGGGGCCCGGCTGTCCCACAGGCCAGAGCCTGGTGTGATGGCCAAGTCAGGGGGCCGGGCCGGGGCCGAGGGTGAGCCCAGCTGCTGTGCCTGTGGTGCTGCCATTGTTTAGCAGCTGACTAATGTTCACTGTTCATCACAAACAGAAAACACCCAAGGGAGGTGTCAGTGTCCCTTCCGTTTTCCCGAGTGTGTCTTTCCTGGTTAATCTGGTAACTGAGCGGCTCCGTCTGGGCGAGGGCATCTGCAGGTTCACCTGTCCTGACTCTAAACGTGGATGCTGGTGTGTGCCAGGCCGGGATGCGCGGCAGCCAGCTGTGCGTGTAATTGTGACATCACCGTACGGCCTCACCGCCGGGGCCGAGGCCGTGTGGGCTTGTGCACTGTGCTGGCTCCACACTACCTGCGTGCGGCCTGGGCGGGCACGGGAGGGTACGCACTGCTGGCTGCGGTCTCCATGGACGGGGCACAATCAAGTGTATGTCCTTGTGGAACAGATCGCCTGTGCCCAGCGCGGTTCAGTGAGTGACTCTGAGGCGATGTCTGTTCTTGTCCGCTCAGCGGGGGTGACCCTGGGAGGAGACAGGGATGTGCCCATGGGCTGCCAGGTCCTGGAGGGGCAGCAGGCCTGGCCCGGCCTCCTTGTGCTCTGCCCTTGGCTGTAGACGGGAGGGGGGGCTGTGTCCTTGCGGAAGGTGCTTCCCTGGAGAGATGGTCTTCTCTTCTCAGCCTCTGCGGCCTCGAGATCCTGTGGGAGGGGAGGGACCGCAGAGACAGGATTTCAGCTACTAACTTAGCACCTTTGCTTCCTGCACGGATACTTGGAGAGAGGTGCCCTCAGGGGGGAAAGGTGGTGCACTCTGGGCATCTGAGAAGGAGGGTGCATTAGGCTTTGGTCCCCCCTGACCAGCCCTGCAGAACCATCTGTGTCCAGCATGTGCCTGAGGCCTCCCCAGTCTGTGCAGCAGACATGGCGGCCCCCTTGTAGGGAAGGGAAGTGGGAGTGAGGGGTGAGGAGTGGGGGGGAGGCTGTCCTGAAGCCCAGCACCCTGTCTGAAGTTCAGCTGCAACTGTTTCCCGCCACGGTGCCCACCGCTCTCCAGAGACCGGCTGCAGGGCGGCAGCAGATGTGCTGGCTGGGGAGGAGGTAACGTGAGATCTGAGCAGGGATCATCTTGCAAAGGAAGCGCGCTGAGCTGGAGACAGCACCCTGCCCGGTAACTCTGTAAGCTCTGTGAGCCCGGCGCTGCTGTGCTGTTTGGAGGTGGGAGATGCAAAGGGGGGAATGGGAGAAAGCACGTCTTGCCCAGCGTAACCGGCGCCGTGACACAGGGAAGCAGGAGCTCAGAGGCAGGGAGGCCCAGAGACTTCCCGACCGCACAGCAGGCGGGGCTCGGGGAACAGTGACCCCACAGTTTGTCCTGCAGCCGGGAGGGAGCGGGCCTGTGAATTCTCCGGGGCTTCTGGGGTCTGTGCCTTCCGTAGCCGTCCAGGCAGAGCGGCAGTGGCCCGAGGCCCTCGTCCGAAGGGAGCAGCGGGTAGCTAGCTCCGTTCCCCTCCCTGTGGCCTGGAGATTCCCCCGTGTGGCTGCCTGGCACCGTGAGACAGCCAGGTGGGGCCCAGCCAGGTGGGGCCGGCGCACTGGATTGGAATGCCAGCTCTGCCGGTTGCTAGCTGAGTGGACTTTGTAGACCTCAGTATTCCAATCCGTAAAACGGGATCCAAAGAGGTTTGTGAAGACTAGATCACAGTAATGTGTGCTAGCATGGCACCAGGCCGGCGATGACCGTGAATGTGAGTGGCGGCTGCCCTGTTCCATGCCTGTCCTTCAAGTGTCCCGCCCCGCTGCATCGGGCAGCGGGCAGTGCCAACTCTGCACGTCCTGAAGAAAGAGCAGCTCCGCTGCCTGCCCACTGCCGCTCCCTTCCCTCTCCGGCCAGGAGCTGCTTTGAGCAGGGAGCCCGCCCCTGCTCCCACCCGGAGTTGTGGTGGAGCCTGCAGCCAGGTGGCTGGTACTGCATGGGCATCGGGTGCTGTGCAGCCTTTGTTCTGCACCCCCAAGGGGCTCTCCCCAGCACCCACCTCTCCCGGGCTCAGCCTGCTGGGCACCGCTGACCATCTGGAGTGCTCGCCGTGGCAGCAGCCTGCACCGGCCCCTGCCTCCCCTCAAACGTCCCCACTTGGGGAGGGAGGGCCACAGGACCCCTCTCCAGCGGCCTGGTCCCCCCTCCTCCAGTGAGCAGTGCAGCCGGTCAGGGAAGGCTCCCTCTCGGCTCCCTGCTGCAGAGCTTTGCCAAGCGTGCTGTGCGTTTGCCCCTGCTTCAGCTGAGCCTCTGGGGGCCTGGGAGCGAGGGTCAGTCGTTCTCCATTTCACAGAGGAGGAAGGTGGGGCCATGGCAGGCATTTGCTGACCGTCTCACACCGAGCGGCCACATGTGGCCCAGGCCTTCCTGCTCCCCAACTCGAAGCCGAGGGAACGGGAGGGACCTGGTGGACAGACACCTCAGAGGAGGCGGGGCCCGGCCGGGGTGCAGCCTACCCAGTGACATGCCACTTG